AAGGAAAGGACAAGGAAAGGACAAGGAAAGGACAAGGAAAGGACAAGGAAAGGACAAGGAAAGGACAAGGAAAGGACAAGGAAAGGACAAGGAAAAGGAAAGGAAAAGGAAAGGAAAGGAAAGGAAAAACACAAAATTACTGAGGATTTTGAGGAGTAAAATGAAAGTGGCAAATTGAGATAGAAAAGCAAAGCTTAGGAAGATGATTTTTTTTTCTGCTTTGTTTTCCTGTTTTCTTTGATCTGAGGTCTAGTACTCGGTGAATCTGTAGTTGCAACAAAGGCAGCAATAACTGACAAAATCCCCACTTTTCTGCCCAGATGAATGGGTGAAAACAACTTTTGAGAGCTTATTTTTTCTCTCCCCCTAACCCCACCCAGCAATTTGGGCATTAACCCAAGGATGAGAGCATAGGCTTGGATAGGCATATTCAGACTAATGAATTAGGAAAAGAGGTCTATGTGGTCCGAAAGGTGTGGAGGAAATCCTATAGTTTTCTTTCTTTTCTCTCATCATTTTATCCCAGGTTAGAGTCTGACAAGTACAATAATGATAGAAGCTAAAATTCCAAGAGAAACTTCATATTTCTAACAAGAAGACTAAGAAAAGAGGTCCTTAAGACAAGAGTATAAGAGCAATGAAAGAGCCAAAGAACGGGGTTCCCTAATTCTATGTATGAACCCATGCAAAGTTCAGTCCTTCGTTCACACCTGAACTGAGCATGTGCAAGACAGACCAAAATATCATAGCAAAAGATCTTTGAACAGAACTGTAATTTAAACTATTGTCAAAGTACCAAAAGAATCCCTGAGAATAGTATGTGTAGGATAGGCTCAAAGCAGCATAGTAAAGCCCTTGAGAAGGCAAATGACATGAAATCAGTACTCACAGAGGGTGAGATTGAATTTGTGATCTGAACCATACTGAATTGGCTACTAAAACAAAATACAAAAAAAAAAATCATTAGCATTCTCCAAAACTTTAAACAGGATCCAAAGACTATGTAATATAATATTCAAAATGTTCAGGATAAAACCCACTATAAGCCAAAGTAAAAAGATTGGGAAAATGTGATCAACTCTTATGGGATAACAGCTGACAACTCTAAAACAACCAAGATGTTATAATTACCAAAGATGTTAAAGCAAATACTAAAGCTAAAAACTAGTTAATAATTTCTCTTCTAGATAAGTGCCATATTCTAGAAACCTTCTTGTATTTAAGTTCTAGAATCCATGCCTAAGAATGCTCATACCAGTGTTTGCAATGACAGAACCTGGAAAAAGGCATAAGCTGTCACCAAAAGTAATATTGCAATAATACAAAAGTGAAATAAAGGAACTACACAACTATATACTACAAGCAACTATCTATGTGAATAGATAGGATGAATTTATAAACATAATGTTGAATGTAATAAAATTACATAACAATAAACAATCATTATATAGCTCACTATCAAATTAAATGTATACATATATATATATATAATTCATTTTTTAAAAGCGAGAGAGTAAACTTAAAATACAAGATATCGTTCTATCTGGAAAGAGAATGCGATGGAACCAGAAAAGATGCTGGTAAATTTAAAAACATCTGGCAATATCCTAGTTCAAAAATTACTGGTTGATTCCCTTGTGTATACTGCTTATGCTAAACCTACTTAGGTGACCAAAAAGTAGGCTTCTAAATGAAATCCCACATGCATAAGGAAAAAACCAGGTTCTGTCCTTCGTTAAAATAAACTCCAGAAACTTTAACAACCCATTTCACATCACGCCAAAACAAAGACTAGGTAATGTGCGTTTCCACGCCCCTGTACCGCTCACAATCACTTCCGTCTCAGCTTCCCATAGCTCCGCCCACCTAGGCGGAAGTTCCTTTCTTCTGGGTCCTCCCGCCTGTAGGGGGCTCTCCGAAGCTTCTAGTGCCACGAAGGCCTCCTGCCTGGGCTGTCCCAACGGTGCCTGTAAATTTAGCTCTAGAAAAGCTCTTTGCGTTTTAACTTTTCAGCCAGGAAACAATTGCACAGGCATTTTGATCTGTATAATATCGTTCAAACTCAATCTTGGCTGAGTACCCTAATCATCAAATCCTAACGCAGTGGAGGGGCCGGAGTCAGGCTCCGTGGAGACAGCCCCGAGATGCCGAAAGTCCCTGGCCCGCTTCCTCCTGTGAAGACGTAGCTGCGGGTGGCTGTGGTGGTGGCGTCCAAGATGTCGACCAAGAATTTCCGAGTCAGTGACGGGGACTGGATTTGCCCCGACAAAAAGTGAGTTCATGAAGGGATCCGAATTGGGGCCGTACTTATCAGTGAACAATTTTTTCAGGTCGATTCAGCAATTGCTGTTCTACGAGTTCCTCCCGCTCCTTAAGCCGGGTTAAGGCGGCGAACCGCCGGCTCCCAGGCGGAAAGGAAGCTCCCAGTCCCTTTCTGAGGAATGTCTTTCTGGGACCTTTTGTTTTGGGTTTGTCACCAGCGTTTCTTCGGCATTATCTTTCCAAGGTGGTCCCTTGTGCATTGCGAGATCACTTACCCTTTCGTCTCTGTACCCCACCCCCTCCCAGGCCAGGTTTCAGAGATAAGGAAATTTCCCCGGTGGTGGCCAGCTCGGTGTTGGATCTCCCCCACGTGACTTTTTCGTGCAGAACTTTATTCTTGTTTGCCGAAAACGTCGCTTTCTTGCTCTCGTCGTTTTCTTCTTGTTTTCTGTATTTTTAATCGTACATTTGCCTTTATTTATACCGTTTTCTCGACTCGATTTCTTTGGTTTGGGAAATTATCATCTTTTCTCTTAAGTGATCTTTAATTTTGTGCAAGAATCCAGTTTTTTGTCGTTTTCGAGTCGAAAGGCCTGTATTTTTGCCTGCATCAGCCCTGAAAGACGCCTGACCACGTGTTTTAGTGACTCTGCTTTTTGACATTGTTGCTAAACCCAATGTGATCTATTGAATTGTTTTTAGGCGGATCTTATTGTAGGCACATAAATAGATGTGTCTACTTGGAGACTTCAAAAATATTTAATGCACATTTCATGTTTAAATAAAAATCTTGAATTTCTTCCAGCTACTAAATTAGCCCTGGATAGTTCATGGTAGTGAAGAGCAAAATCTGTTGGACAAACCAGTGTTTAATTCTAGTTTCGTTTTAGTCCATCCAAAAAACTGGAATAGAATTGCTTCCTTGTAGTGAATAGATGGAATAACTTGGTAGTGTATGTAGAAAATGAAATGCAGCATATACTCCTTAATTGGCAGCCATTAATACTGGTTCAGTGTTAAGATCTGAAGAGACTGAAGTCTAACTCTGATATCAAGTAGAACAGAAAAGTTTTGTTGGGAATGGAGTTGTTATGTGTGGTAAGACACTGTAGAAAACCTTCAAAACACATAGAATAACAAATTTTGATCACCTGTGAAATGACAACACCCTCAGATATTTGAGGAAGGACTTTTAAGAGTGAAATGCATACTTCTGTGCATTAAAATATATTTATAAAAAGAGACTATTCTACAGTATGTATTAATACAGGAAACTTTTACAGTGTTTAAAAACACCCCTCCCTTATCGTTTTTTTTCCCCCCAATTGGATTTTGTATTTCTTGTAAAACTTTTTGCAACGTTGTAAATATCTTATTGTTTCCTGTACTAAGATTGTACTTGGGTGTTTTTGTTTAAATCTCCCTGATGTCTTCTCAGTAATTACTGAAGCAGGATAAAAATCTCACTTAAGCTTTGCAATGGGGTTTCATTGTAAGGGTGTATGCTAATACAAAAATGCCAGGGCAGAGATCCTAAGTGATTTAACCAAGGTCACATAACTGGGTTTTGTTATCCTGTTTTTGTGACTCCCAAGTCACTTTTTCTACAGCTAAATTGTGATTTTATTATAATTAATGTTATTGACATGACAGATTCGAGTTCTGAAATCCACAACTTCTGGATAATGTGGTGAGGACACCTTAAACATTCACATGACTTACGTGATTTCTGTAAATGCTTTTTATTTTCAGATGTGGAAATGTAAACTTTGCTAGAAGAACCAGCTGTAATCGATGTGGTCGGGGTAAGTATTTAAAGAAGATTCTATTAACATTGTATGTACAGATCGTTTCTGTATCTTCCCCAGATTAATATTGCATTATTTTTCTATTTTCAGAGAAAACAACTGAAGCAAAAATGATGAAGGCTGGGGGTACTGAAATAGGAAAGACACTTGCAGAAAAGAGCCGAGGCCTATTTAGTGCTAATGACTGGCAGTGTAAAACGTATGTGTTTCAAATTATGGTTCACTCTTCCTGCCATTAATGCATCCAGTCACTCCCTTGTTAATATTACAAACTTATTAATCACATTAACAAGTCAGTGTATCCTTTTAAATTGGAGGTCTTTTGGCTGTTAATCATTTCATCTTGTATAATAGAAATTTTTAAATTTTTTTGCATTTTTTAAATGTAATATTTAAAAATAGTTATTACTATAATGGATTATATATACCAGTAAATAAATGTTTGTTATTGAGAAAAAATTCAAAATGTTTTAGTTTTCTATCATTAATGGGAAATGCATCACAAAATTCATTTTGACTATTTAACAAAGTAATTTTAGAATCAGAAGTTGTCTTCCATCAAAAATTGTTTTTAATTAGGAAGGATTCTATTGTTAGTTTAAATTTAATTCTGTATTGATTTTCCTGGCTTCCATCTTTTTTGCTGTGCAGATAAATCCTAGGTATATGGAAGAAGAGTGAATCAGTAAAGGTTCTCGGGGAAATATCTTTTTTGGTACCAGGAATGAACTCAGGGGCACTTAACCACTGAGCCATATCCCCAGTCCCCGCTTTTTTAAAAAAATTTTGAGACAGGATCTCAGTGCGTTGCTTAGTATCTTCCTAAGTTGCTGAGGTTGACTTTGAACTTACAATTCTGCTGCCTCAGCCTCCAAGCTGCTAGGATTATAGGCATATGCCACCATGCCTGGCTCACATAAATTTCTGATCCTGTAAAATTTAAATTTGTATTAAGAAATTTTCCTACAGCAGATTAAGTTACTGGATTTGGTAGGTTATGGAGTTCAGTGTTTAAACAGATTAGTAGAGGTGGGAGGGGAATATCAACAAATTAACATCCAAGAGTACGCCCCTAATCATCTTTAAGATGAATTCACAGACTAAAAAATTAGTGGAGCCTTTAATTCAAATTGATAGCACCTAGCCCAGGGCTGCAGATTCTCTGACGTTAACACTTTGTCATTTCTCAACTAGTTTTTCTTCATGCTATGTAGATTTTTATTTACATTTTTAGTAAACATTGCTTTATGCTAGTGATTTCATCTGAGTTTTTCTTTTAACATTATAGAATGCTAAAATTTTTCTAACCTTGTAGCATGACCTTCTGATTTAAATTTTTTTTATTTCTGTAGTTGCAGTAATGTAAATTGGGCCAGAAGATCAGAGTGTAACATGTGTAATACTCCGAAGTATGCTAAATTAGAAGAAAGAACGGGTAAGATACAACTATGCTGTAACAAAAATTATTTTTAAAGAAGCTAAAAGTTGAATTGACCATTATATCACCTTTTTGAAAGATTACAGTAATAATTGAGGGTTCTGTGTCTTTTGCCCTAGTGTTTTTTTTTTTTTTTTAAAACTGGGATTTTTTGTTTTCCCTTACAGAAAATTTTTTTGTTTCATAATTTCACAGTTTATTAAAAAATAATAGTGGTAGGGAGTCCTATCCCAACAAGAAGGGTCATTAGTATACTTTTAGAAATGTTTTTCTACATTTTCCCTCACTGATTCAGATGTTTGTAAATTGGTAATTATAACAGTATTGTCTCCTATTCATGTAATTTTGTAGTACATCCAAAAAGGAGGTTTTCCTATGAAAGTAGGTAATAATTCTTGAACTTGACTAAGAATACACTTTCCATAGTGTAGAACTGTCAAAATGCTCATAATTCTTCATGGGTGGGTCTCAAAAGACCACAGGTTGTTTGGATGGTGTTTGGTAGTCCTTGGCTAACATAATAAATTTACCATTATCTCTGTTGCAGTGTCATAGTTAAAACTTTATCACACAATTTAGTTTTCCCATTATTAGCAACTCCCCCAAACACATTGTCTGTATACTTCTGATTTTATCACTCAACTATTTATATATCACATAGTCAAGAGTTTCTACATATAATCTCTCAGATTTTTGAGTTAATAAACTACTTGCCTGTTTTTCTAATTTTGGACCACCTTCATAGTCTCAATTTTGTGATGATTAAGTAGATTAAACTCATAAGACTTTCCCTTTTTTTTCCTTCTCTTGCCTATCAAAGTTAGTTTTTCTCCTTAGCATCTCTGGTTCTTCTGTCTTCTGCCTTTCCACTGCATGTTGGGATTCTTAAAGGTCCACTCTTTAGGCCTTTTCTGTTTTCGGTAATTTTTCTTCACATTCCCAAGTTTTAAGTAACAATTGGCACACCATGGTACCCAAATTTATGTCTCCAACTCAAACTTCTTTGACCAATGTATTCAGCTGCTCATACAGCATTGCCATACAGATATTAGGTTTATGATATCCTAACTGAATGTGAAGAGGACCTGGTCCTCTTCCAGTGGTTTCTTTCTCATGATTTGTTCCACCCACCATAATTGTTACATAAGCCAGAAACCTAAATGTTCTCTTTACCCTAGATAGCTCCTTCATCTCACCCTTCTATCTTTTAAAAAAAAAAAAAATCATTTTATATTACTACTGTTAGCAGAAATACCATTCTGTCTTGTCATGGAAAAATAGCCACCTAGTAGTCTCTATAAATTCCCCTTTTGCCCAGTTTGTACCAGAGCTCTTTTGTTTTTTCCTGAACTGAAATGACCATTTTTAAAATTTAGTCTCAAAATTTTTTTCTACTTAGTCATTTTGATCTATCTACATCATGACTTCTTTCAAATTTTATTGTAGCAAAAATCTGTAGTTTGTGTTTTATACCTTCTTATTTTCCTTCCTTTCTCAGCTTTTTCATCATTCTGATATCTTAAACCATTTCCATTTCTCTTATTTTTGCTAGCAACAGTTGAATATGCAAAATAGCTCATTTTCTTGCTTTTCAATTCCTCTTAGCTTATTTGAAATGAAACTATCCGAGTTCCAAGAGAGCATTGGAACAGGATGTGAATTAAGCAAAAAGATGATACACTACCTCTGAAAGTTACTGTCTTAAGCATAATTCCATCATATTATTATACAGTAATTAATCTCTTGTTTTAGAATTTACCATTATGTGGATTTTTGTCCACTTTTTTTTTAAATTGAACTATTAAGGATAACTATTAAAATAATGTTAATACACTGGAATGTATATTCTTTACAATTGTTAATTTTTTTAACTTCTCAGGTGCTAAATTAACTGAGAATAGAGAATAGAATCACAAAAAATTGTTAGAATAATCTTTTTGAAGTATATGTTATATTCATCCTTTTTTCTCTAAGACTTGTACAGGGTATTGTATTTTTTTGTACAGAGTATTGTACTCGGGGGCACTTGACCACCTAGCTACATCCCCAGGCCTATTTTGTATGTTGTTTAGAAACAGGGACTCACTGAGGTGCGTAGGATCTTGGTTGCTTACAGTCCTCCTGCTTCAGCCTCCTGGGATTACAGGAGTGCATCATGATGCCCAGCTTAAGCTTTCATTTGTGATTACTTATTTTATCTAAGCTCTGATATTATAAAATCTTATAAAGAAATGAAAAAAAATGGCTACCATTGTATTTTAAAGCCTTCTAAAGAAACTAAAAGTTTTTAGATAACAGTATTTATCTTTGTTCATTGAAAAAATATTCATAAACCACTGTGCAGTGTACTGTGATCACCTGTTGAGCAAAATAGACATTTGTGCCAAAGATTAAAAGTCCTCTTGAAAGTTGTGTTTAAGAAGTAAAAATGAGTTATTCAAATAAGGATGTGAGGAGAATTTACTCAAATAAGAATAGGTTTTGTGAGCTTGAGTGAATTGAGCATTTTGGATTAGCTCCTTGTTAGCTTCAGGAAACATTTTAGAAATCAGCAAGACCATGTAAGTCATAATAAAGAGTTTATATTTCATTCTTAATAGGAAGTATCTAAAGGATATTTAAATAAGGGACTGAAAGGGTCACCTAATTTCAGTGTTGTTACTGATTTGTGGGGAGAGAATTGCACTGGGAAAGCGTCAAGAACCAGAAGCTCAGTTGGTAGAGTGCTTCCCTTGCCATATATAAGGCCCTGGGTTCAATCCCTAGCAGCACAGAAAAAAGAAGAAGAAGAAGAAGCAAGAGTTTTTGAATATATTACCTGTAGAGTACTAAATCAACAAAATGAAAGAAAGTATGACACCATTTTTCCAGCTCACCTATTACTTACTGGGCATAAATGACATGACATTTTTCCAACCTATCTATTACTTGGTAAAAATGACATGCCCAAGTGTTTTTATGATATGGAGCTACTATGTTTCCCTTGTGCAGGGAAAGAGTTCATGAATCAGATGTTTCATACAATTCAAACAATATATCTTATCTATGTTGTCAACAGACTAGTTTCTTTTTCTGAGACTTGTATGAGAGAATGAGAAGATAGCATGGTATTTTTGTCATATTCATTGTAAAACAAAATTACCTACGTGAGTTAAATTAATCTTACTGTAATTTAATCTTCAGCTTTCTACATATTTGCCATATTTCTTTTCACTTTTATAATATTAAAGGTGAACAGAGAACTCCACTAAAAGCCTAACTCCTTGGTTTTAAATAGGATTGTTTTTAATATTTTTACATGCTTCCATATATGAATTATCCTGTCCAGTTGAACAAGGACTTATTTGCGCTGATGACAACTATATTGTAATATCAAACTTGTTCTATTGCTCTATTTTTCTTCTATAAATTTTTGCCTATCTAAATCATGTGGTTTTTAAGAAGAGTTTCATCTTTCCTAACTTTTTATTGATACAAAGTATAATGAAGAAAAGAGACGCTGTATTGATGTGATTTTCTTTCAGAAGTCTTTTTTTTTTTTTTAATGGCCACAACTAATAAATTTAAAGTCATCTTTGTGGGCTCATGAAGTTCGTAAATCTGAGAATCATTGGCCTTGTGTAATGGTATTGTTCTGAAGTTAGATTGTGTTATTCTTCATTACCTCTTTGTCATGAGGGAAGACTTATTCAAAATTTCTTATCTCACTTTTTCTAAAAGTAGCTCATTTCTTATTCCAGTTTGTTTTAAGCTTATGTCAAAATGTGCCAAGTTATAAGCATTAGTTGAATATCAAAATAGGGGTTTGCTAATCTTAACTACTTTATAATAGAATAGTTTTAATTTGAAGCTTTACTAGTTATTTCAGAAACCTGAATAACTTTTAATTGTGAACTAAAAATAATTATGTAGACAAAAATTAAACCAAAGCCATAGGGTGACCTTTATCATTTCATTGTATTTGCCTGTATAAATTAGGAATTTTCCAAGCTCTAGTTAGTGGATCACTACATTTTAGCTCAGCAGTATCAAAATTTAAGCTTTGTGGAACTGGTAGACAGTGATATTAAATCTTTGATTCTTATTGAAACAGAAATATAGCAGTTTGACTTTAAATTGAGTTATATCTAACTTTGAGACTGTTCTTTGTGGTTATTCTTAACTTGCTTTTAAAAGACTAATAATTTATATGGATAGGCAACTGCCATTGATTGGAGTTTCTTTTTCCTGTTTGGAAGTGATATGGGTATGTTTTTGTTACTTGAATTGTCAACAGTTTATGTGCTCTCTTTTTTAGGATACGGTGGTGGTTTTAATGAAAGAGAAAATGTTGAATATATAGAAAGAGAAGAATCTGATGGAGAATATGATGAAGTAAGCTGGACATGGTTGTGTAGTTTAAATACAAATTAGGAAAATATGTTATCTTCAGGAGAATGTTTTTAAATACAAGTTGAGTCTTTTCCAGCAATTTATGTGTTGGCGAGGATGTGGGGGAAAAGGCGTACTCACACATGGCTGGTGGGACTGCAAATTGGTGCAGCCAATATGAAAAGCAGTATGGTGATTCTTTGGAACTGGGATTGTAACCACCATTTGACCCAGCTATCCCTCTCCTTGGTCTATACCCAAAGGACTTAAAAACAGCATACTACAGGGACACAGCCAATGTTTATAGCAGCACAGTTCACAATAGCTAAACTGGAACCAACCTAGATGTCCTTCAGTAGATGAATAGAGTAAAAAAAAAGAAAAAAAAGTGGCATATATACACAATGGAACATTATTCAGCAATAAAAGAGAATAAAATCATGGCATTTGCAGGTAAATGGATTTTTTTGCCAATCCCCCAAAAAAACAAATGCCAAATATTTTCTGATAGAAGGATGCTGATTGGTAATGGGGTTGGAAGGGGAAGCATGGGAGGAATAGACAAACTCTAGATAGGACAGAGGGGTGGGAGGGATGGGAGGGGGGCAGGGCTTATGGTGATGGTGGAATGTGATGGGTATCATTATCCAAAGTACATGAATTGGAGTGAATATATACTTTGTATACATCCAGAGGTATGAAAAGTTGTGTTCTATATGTGTAATGTGAATTGTAACTCATTCTGTCGTATATAAAAATTTAATATAAAAATAAAGAAATTATAAGATATATATTATATATATAAAGATAATTTTTTAAAAAATATTAATGCACTTTCAGTGCACTGAAATATTTTGAAACTGTTTTTCTCTAGTTTGGACGTAAAAAGAAAAAATACAGAGGAAAGGCAGTTGGTCCTGCCTCTATATTAAAGGAAGTTGAAGATAAAGAATCAGAGGGAGAAGAAGAGGATGAGGATGAAGATCTTTCTAAATATAAATTAGATGAGGTAAATAATTTCCATGCCCTATTTTCCATTTGTCTTATTTGAACTATTACATAAACATGAATGCATTTTGACAATCTTGGAGCCTTGACAAAGATATAGTCTCATAAAGGTTTTAGTTTCTACTCTGCCACACAGTTTTTGTTTTTTAAGATAAAATAGTGACCAAGAAAGAACCACCCTTCTCTTATTAAATTCTAGAGAAGAGCAGATGTAAATGACCAAGATACTAATAAAGCTATGAAGACACATGATACGATCACATTAAGAAGACTACTTTGGTTTCAGGGGTGATTTATGAGAAGGTAAAATTTGAGCTGAGACTTAAATGATATGAGGGAGCCAGTAAAAAGAGGTGGGATGAGAGCAGATTCAGACAGAACAGCGGATAGTTTCTGTTGAGTAGAAAACAAACCAGACATTAAAAATTCATATGTAGACCACTGTTCTTAGAATAGAAGAGAGAATGATGAGGACAACACCTGATATTCTGTGGGGCCAGATGGTAAGTTTTAGTTTGGCTGTTTGGTCCAGATTCGGGGTACTTTGAAGGCTGATCATGAAAGGTCCTAGAATGCAAGTGTTCCAGAAACAAATGAGTTGTGTTTATCTGACCTGTTCTTCAGGATGAGAAGTGTTAATATATTGAGAAATTGGAGTACCACAATGGACTTCAAGAATTAGACTAGCTGAGAGTTACTGTGATATACTAGAGAAAAAAGGATTCAAGTTCTAACCTAAAGACTAAGGGTACTAGACTCTGGGACTTTTGTTTATGAAGTAGAATTGAATGTTCTTCATAACTAACATGGTAATATATTGTGATAGAAAAAGAGGAAAAGAGTATAACTTCCAGGTTTACACCTATCTAGCCTATCTATCTGATTAGCTGAATGAGAAATAGAATAGGTATATTTCAGAATTTGAGAATGAATTTACTTTGAGATTCAAGTGCTTATATTCATATGCAGATGTCCAGGATGTGATCCTATTCATTTTCCCTAGTAGGTAGCATTAATATCTAAATGTCTAAATATAAATGAATTTTTGTTAGGATGAGGATGAAGATGATGCTGATCTCTCAAAATATAATCTTGATGCCAGTGAAGAAGAAGATAGTAATAAAAAGAAATCTAATAGACGAAGTCGCTCAAAGTCTCGATCTTCACATTCACGATCTTCATCACGCTCATCCTCCCCCTCAAGTTCAAGGTCTAGGTCCAGGTAAACGGGTACAGGTCAAGGGTAACACCAGTCAAAATGTCAGTATCTAACTTCTTTATTTATAAATTTCAATTTCTTTTTAATTAAATAAGCTTTTTATTTAAAAGATCTTTCAAGTCACCTTTTAAAACACTTTTTACCCTGATGCCATGTAGATGCATACTGTCTACTGTTTTAAGAAATATGAAATCTTTAATATGAAACCTTTAATGTTTTAGCATTCTGACTTTTTAAAATAAACTTAAAAATTCAACTAAATTATGACATACAGTGATATTTAAATATCTAAATAGCTTACATTTAGAAATGTTTAGGTTCAGTGAAGGGTTATTATTTCAGGATATTAAAGGTTAGTATAGAGAGTTTTCTGAGCATTGAAATCATAGTTACACAATTTTTGATAATCTTTTGATATCAGTATTCTGCATAAAGAACAAGATCTGCCATATTAGTTCAGTGACTTACTGTTTATCACTTGGTTGTCCAGGAATAGAGGATTCAGTTGGTGTTGTACTTAAATATTCTTTTGTTTGGTAGTGTAAAATGCATATTCTGTAATTATAGTTGGCAATAAAAATAAAACTTTGGCTGAAAAATAGAAGTGCCTTAAATAAACAGCATTCTCTTGAAAAAAAATTATTCACAGTTAAGTAATACTGTGGACAAGGAATTTTAAATAGTGGTAGGAACATTCTTGAAATTAAATATATATTGTAACATTCTATTTTCCTGGATATATTAGTCCTGGGTGGCTTCTAATAAATTATTTGTGAGCATAAAAGTATTTGTCGTTTTTCTAGTACTATGGTGGTGCTCTGTTTTTACAACCTAGTGGTTTTAGTGCAATTTTATCAGGTTTGAAAAGTGATAGTTAATTTTTTAAGTAATATTTTTTTATTAAAACCAAAAATTTTGGAAATCTTAATTTTATATATTTATGTTTTATATGAAAATGAACTCTAATGTATGTCTTTCTTTCAGTGTTCATATCACAGAGATCAATTAAGTGGTCCTGGGGGAAAAAAAAAATGCTTCCATGTTGTTCCAGGTCCCGTTCAAGAAGTTCTTCCAGTTCGCAGTCAAGATCTCGTTCCAGTTCCAGAGAACGTTCGAGATCTCGTGGGTCGAAATCAAGGTGAATGAGGTAGCATCTCTCTGTACAACAGAGAGAAAAATATTTAAAGGCTGCAGAAGGTGTTGCTGCTTTTCTCTCTTATTTTGCTTCTACTTGTTAATTTTATTTTAGCATTAGAAAACTAATGCACTTGCCTTGGCTTAATTTTCTTACCATGAAATGTTTCCATTGCCAGCCGTGTGCCAAGACATTCCCATGATTGAATTAAGGTGGCTGTTTCCCATTATTGCAGAGTTTGTTATTTTTGTCCTAAGATTTAATAAAGTAGGAAGATGAAGTCAAATCTTATCATCACACCACTACTAGTATTTGATTTCCTTTGCAGTAGTGTTCAAATAAAATTAATATGCAAAAGAAAAGTTTGTTATTAAAAGGAAGAAAAATAATCTTGTCTCAAAACAAGATTTGTTTTGCAAGGCAAATGTTTATAGAAAAAGCTTTGCCATTTGTCAGATAAAGTTTCTACAGAGTACTGTGTACGTTTTCTTAATTTCTAATTTTAAATAGTATTATAAACAGTATTGTTAGAACAGACACCTGTCTTAAAACTAACTCAGGTAGTATGATTAGTTAGTTTAGGTAGGATGAAGTAAGCATTGCTGTGAACTTTCAAGTTGCATTTGGTCAAACCTGTAGAGAGAGCAGTCTGTAGGAGCTCTCTTGAAAGGTTTTTCTGTACTGGATAAAATACCCTCCCTTTGTTTTTACTAAAGGCATTTAAGGTAAATAAGAAAACTGCTAAAATCCCACTGAAGTTTAATAATGGCTATTTTGGTAAACATAATTAATTGCTGTTAGTTTGAGTCGGATCTTGTAGTTCAAATGAAGTTAATCTTTAAAGAGAAAAGAATAACATGCACACTTGTATTGAGCACCCCCCCAAAAAAAAAAAGTAAATGCATTTTCTTATTATGTATTAGTATTCTAGTCCTTTATTTTAGAACTTAAATGAATATCTGTAAACTTTGATATTCCCTTTGGGAAACACTATAAGATTTATAGAACAGCCTTTATATTCTTTTTAAACATTATTCTTTGCTCATAACTTTCCAAAGAATTCTCCTTTTGGGCTTTCTGGTTTTATTTTAAGCCCAAAGGTGAATTTTTTGGGAAGTTTGAGCTAAATTCCTTCAAACTATGTAAATGAAGAAAAAAGTTTTGCACTTAAATATTGTACATTTACTTCTGCCTGAAACATGTGAATGTCAACACTTCATATTTCATGAATAGTGGTACTTTCATAAATATAATAAATGTAAATCAAGTTTTAAAGTTACTCATTTTTATTTGGATTTTTAGCAGTTTACTACAATTACTGTTTGTTCTTGTTTCTGTACCATATTTCTCATATAGCAGCTTAACTTATGAGTTGCTTAATTCCATAAAGAATTGTTTTGTTTGTTTTCCTTGGGAATTTGTACTTAGCATACATACTCTCTCCCCACATGGAAGAGTATAATTTCTAAACATGTCACACAGTTGCAGTTAATCTGCTAAATTTACTATTTATATGCTTTAAATTAAAAATCTTATGTAGAAAAAAGTTAAATTCTTTATTAATACTATAATGCTGGTTTTAATTACAAATAATGAGTATGTGGGCTTTTAAAGAGAGATGAAATTAAAATAACTTAATATTTAAATAGAGTATTTTCATATTCATCCAGAAGTCTTCTGTTGAGTAAGCAGTAAGTATTCTTTCATATAAAATTTTCGTAGTTGTTATAAATCCTGTTTATTTTTGGAAACTGAACAATCTTCTTCATTTCTTCTTTTAATGAAATGTTTGATTTGTTTCTCAACCAATGAAGATCCAGCTCCAGGTCCCACAGGGGCTCTTCTTCCCCACGAAAAAGATCTTATTCAAGTTCATCATCTTCTCCTGAGAGGAACAGAAAGAGAAGTCGTTCTAGATCTTCTTCACCTGGTGATCGAAAAAAAAGACGAACAAGATCACGGTCACCTGAAAGGTTTGGGTTTCTGTAGAAATAAGAATGGGTGTTCTTAAGTATATTTAATAGATAAGCTAGACTTCCTAGTCAGGGGTTAGATTCCCGTCTCCTTTGTTCCACCTTTAAATTATACTTTCCGTCTTTAAATTTAAAAAAAAATTACTTTGTTTAGTCTTATACTTTGATCAAGTTGTTTAGAATATAGATCAAACTATTCTTAGATCATTTTGTTTAAATTTTTATTTCCTTGTATAATATTATAGCCAACTCTCGGTTATATTTGTTTTTTTTTAAAGATTGCAGTTCAGAGTTGTATGTTGAAGTAATTTATGGGTTGATTTTTTGTAATTTATGATATTTTAAATTAAATTTTAGAACTGATAGGAATTCTAGGACATCTAATAAAATTAACTTTCAGATCATTAGGAATCTGTCTTTAAATATGTATAAATGCATTACAGTAGCAAATTGTTTCATGCCCTTCATCTATAAGGAAGTTGTTCCTTATAGCTAATAAATTTTTCATCTTGCTGTCCAAAGCCATACTTTTTTAGAAGGACCTTTACTGGGTTACTTGTCTTTTTGATATTTTTAAAATTTGGAGAGTGCAATTATCTGTCAGCCTTTTCTGCAACAGGCTAAATTACTCAGTTTCATTTGCTCACTTGGTTCTTAGTGTCTAATTATATAATCATTTAATGACTTCATTTGTATTCTTTGCTAATTTTCCATATCCTCTTAGCATGTGAAAATAAGGATTATGTAAAATCTGATTATATTTGGGTTCGATAGTAGGATTATCTCATTCCTAGATACATTCCTACTTGTACAGAATGCTTAGTTTTGCTTCTTCACATTTTAAAGTTTAGATACTAGATTACACACAATTAGTCTTAGTTCTGTGCATTTGTTTCTTTGTAAGAAAATTACTCTGTACTTGAGTGAAATTCCTTCTGTTGCTTTCTTACCACTTCTGCAAATTTTATCTTAGCCACATATAATCCCCCTAGTTTGTTGTCATCTAAACTTAATGAACATGTTCTCTATTCCATAAGCCAGGTGATTGGTGAAAACACTAAACAACCCTGAGCCCAGGGCCAACCCCTACGGAACACCACTACTTTACCCAGGTTGATATTGACTTATTCATATTAGCTGCATGAATATAACACTATAACTAATTGTACAATCATCTTGTGTGACCTCAATTTCCAAAATTTAATTATTTATGAATATATTTATTCCTACACATTTGGAAGCCTTGCTGTATTGGTTTTACATATAGACTTATTACACTTTCTATAGTGTATCACAGAGATTGGTGTAGTCACACTTCATTAGCAAGTTTATAAGTCTGTTGTACAATATCTGTTTATATATGCATTTTTGCAAGGCTTCTCTTCATCACCTTAAATAATTGAGAGGTGGCTATATTTTGGAATAAGAAGATATTTCTCAATTATAGAGTTTTAAATTATGGTATACCATTTCTAGGCTCACATCCAAGTCTGTAAACACCAGATTATCTTATGTATGTAAGTTTACATATTAGTTTTTAATTATTCMTTTTTCTAGTATCAAGGTGTTTAAATTTTTTATTGTTGTTGTTTTTACAATCTTAATGAATGCTGAAATACAGATCTAGTTTACTAGATTACCTGCTTTGTCCATTATGTCTTACAGGCGCCACAGGTCATCTTCTGGATCGTCCCATTCTGGTTCCCGTTCAAGTTCAAAAAAGAAATAATGTATTAAAAATTACATCTTAAACAAAAAAATCCAGTACAGTGCATGAAGCATATTTTTTAAGAAGTTGATGTCTTACTTGGTCAGAAGTGCTAAATCTGCTAGTAGAGGTGCATGCCTTTATTGCTTTTCAGAATAATACAACTGTGTTTATTTGTGAAATTAAAAGTAAATTGCATTTTAAGCCATAATGTCCCAAAATAGATGGTCTATTATTCATTATTTACAACCATTTGCTTCATTTAAAACCATCTCAGCATAACAAAGTACCTTTGTTTCCTAATTTAAATACTTATTTCTAAATATATTCTGTCTGTTGGCTAAGACAGGATTAAGTAGGCTTGCCTGTACTTCGGGCATAGAGGCAAGAGTGGTAAACTCATTGGAAACAACCTTTTTAATGTTATTAACCTATATCAGAGTAATTCTTACCAGGACAAGTTTAAGTTGTAAAGCAGCCTACTGGAAACTTCTTTATTTGAAATTCGCTATGCTGAGGGTGCCTTAGAATCATTGTCTCTCTTTTATGCAGCTTCACACCAGTTTTGCACCATTTTTATGCAAAAGAATCTTGTGATTTGAAGAAGGAGAAAGGTGGTGTTCATTTCCTTTCTGAACCATAATTTGGGGCAAGAAAGTCCAGTTCATCTGTTCTCTACTGATATGGTTGCCTGATTTTTTTTTTTTTTTTTTTTTTTTTTTTTTTTTATCTCAAGATGTTTGTCTCAAAAGTTTAAGAGGCTTTGTGTGATATCCTTTAAAGATCTAGTATCAAACATGATAGGGTAGAAAAGGCTAAATCATAGTTAATGAGCAAATTGAAGAAAGCTTTTGAACTGTATATCCCTTTCGATGAAAGACCAACAGAGACAATTGTGAATTCAAATATTTGCCTTGATGTTTAAGCACATTACATAAAATTTTCTTCTGGATAACAAGTGAATGCTTATTTCTGCATGATATAAGCAAAATTTTATTTTTTTTCCTATTCACTTGAAATAACTTATGGCTTAAAATGCTCTTAGCGTTTTGTTTCTCAGAATTAAAATCTGGTCACTTGAGCTCTATTTGGTTTTCTGGTTTAAAAATAAAAAGGTTTCTCTTAACAGTGTCTTCAGTGACAATGCAAGGTAAGTATTAGAGGAAATCAAAAATTGTGCTTGGGGGCTTTTTGTTATGGGATACTGCTTTTGTTTTTGTTTCTGTTTTTGTTTTTTCTTTTTTCTTAACATTGTCTGCTGCAATTTAAATAAAATTTTAAACATTTTAAGGTATTTAGTAGACAGACCAGACAAAATTACATTTGTTTTTATTTTAATGTGAATGTTTTTCTCTTCAACCAATCTAAAAACAAAATACCTTATGTAGAAATATTTTCATAATATTTTTACTACAAGCTTTCCCATGTTTTTTTATGTCTTAATTTTCCTTGCTACGTTTACTGTAGGTTGCACAAGAATTTTACTCTCTTGTAATTGTGCCTCAGACTTTTTGAAAGTCCACCTTCTAAATTGCCCAGATGATGATCTAGATTCTACATGTTACATTGGTTTATTCTTGTGCTCTCTTGTATTTAAAACTTTGGCTGTACTAAGCAAATGCAAGGTTATAAATTTAGCTAATAGGAGTTTACAGACAATTCAGATGATTATGATTTCTTGGTTTAACTGAGCTGTACTAGTTCATTTCATAAGGAAATGATGCTGTAGACAAATGTAAATAAAGTCTGTGAGTCAAGCATCAAGTGTGGTGTTTGTTAGAAATTACAGATTTTTACACTATGATCTAATGTTTGTTTTTAGGAAAAAATTTCTTTTAATTTTTCAGTTTTTAAACTCTTTACTTTCATGTTTTTATGTGAGTGCTTGGTTTAAAAGAGATTGTTACAGCTTTATGTACTTGTGACTTTCAGAGAGCTCTCAAATTAGTTGAATACTTCCTGCCAGAACATTACACATCTTTATTACCTATGGTAAAACAAAATGTTAATAGTGTGCTTCCTGAATTACTTTTAAAACTATCACTTTACAGCATTCAACAGCTGTTTATTTTTAGATGCTGGGTTTTAAATTTCTTTTGGGGATTCTTTCATCTAAACAGTATTGAATGGTGATTTATCTGAAAGTATCCACATTCAAATAAGCTCTAAATATACAAGACTATCTCTAGGCACAAAGATAAATTAATGTTTATTATCTTCTTGCTATGGCATTCATAGCCAGTACTGAAGATGATGGTAAGAATGTAGGGAATCCCCCCCCCCAACTTAAGTGCTGTTTTTGTTTTGTTTTGTTTTGTTTTGTTTTAATAGAAATAACTTCAGTCTCCATGGGTCAAAAAAATGATCATGAGGACGTTTTGTTTTTAATGAATGGAAATAGTTTGTGGGTTTCAACTAAAGAAGTGCTTGGGGATGTGATTTGAAAGCCTACAGTTAGGGAAGTTGAGTTAAATCAACTAAATTTTTATTTCTAGAATAAAAAAAAAGAGGTGAATTAGAAGGTGTGGAAAAAAAATGGAAATAGAAGACTTTCACTTCAATCCAAGATTTATCTTTTCAACTGAAGCACACCAGTATTTTTTTAGTATATTGGCCAACGTACTGTGATTAACAATGATACCTGAACAACACTAGTTTAAGTTTCCATCTTACATTGTGCAGTTACCCCTTTATATTAATATACTCAGAGAGGACACAGGAGGCTTCAGGACACTCATGTTTATAGGGAGAGTCCCAAAGAGGTTTCACAGGTATCTGTATTTTTAAGTCTTAATTCTTAAGTAACATCAGGGGAAACTACCTCAAATGCAAGAAACTGGTAAGAGCTCCAACCATAGGAAACATGAAGATTCAGTTCCAGATCATAATTGCTGAAAGAGAAAAGACGATAATGGTAAGAAATGTGAAGCAGTGCAAGCCCAAAGACAGTACATCTTGTACTGAAAAATTGGCTTATTCTCTGGTCAAAATGTATTTAGATAATAAAGATGAAATCCAAACCAGCTGTTTAAGAATCTAGAATTTACAAGCCAATGAGAGAAAGGATGTTTGTTAACAATAGATGGAAAACTGTCCACACAAAGCATAGAGAGTGCTAACTGGGTTTATCTATTACATAATTATCTTTAAGAGGAAATTGTTTATATTTTATTGAAGTTATATGTACAAGGGAAAATACACAACAGTACATAGTTCAAGAGGCAAGAAATGGAAGTGCAGTATTTGAATGTGGTTGTACATTAGAGTGTTATACATCATGAAAGTAGATGGTAAAGTTGAAAGGGCTATAAAGGATGGGTCATTTGAATAGTAATAAAAGAAAATAGAACAAAAACAAATAGGGTGGGTTTAAACCCAAACTATCAATGATTATGTCAAAGGTAATTGATGAAACACCACAACTAAAGGTGGATATCACTCTGAAAAAAGGAAAATATGCAGAACTAAGGGATTTCAGGAAAGTAGATTTGAGAGCAAAGAAAAGGATTTTTTTCTACATGGTGATACTTACTTGACCAAGAAAGTAATTTGTGCATTTATTTCAAAATATGTGAAGCAAATGTAAAAAGCCCACAATTATCAGATTTGTGTGCCTGTCATAATTAAATGTAAGTTCAAAATATGCTTATAGAAAACTAGCAGTCAACTTGACCTGGTTCATTTATGTAGAACTCTTAATACTTGTTTTCAGGTACACAGCATCCTGAAAATGGGTCATACTGGGGTCACACATTGCTATTACATTTGCATGAAGTTCAAGAACAGACATGGCTATTGTAATAGTTGGGTCAGTGATGTTTATACACTGGGTAGAACAATTATTTTAGTTGGTAGAACTGTATTTATCAAATGTGGCTACAATTGTATGTACCTATGTAAAAATGTCACTAAGCTTGTACAGATAACATTTTTGCATGTTGTATGAATATTATACGTCAAAAGGTGTTTTTTATGATTTTAGGTTAACTAAAAAGTTGCAAAAATTGAGTTCCCCTATACCCTCATCCAGTTTTTTTGTTAATATATTACATAGTATATTTGTAAAGCTAAAAAACCAGTATTTGCACATTAATAACTGTTGATTTTATTTGAATTTCATTATTTTTTAAATTTCATGACCCATTTAAGAGTACCACACTGAATTTGGATGCAGTGTCTTTTATTCTGACCTCACAAGTTTCTCATTCTTTTTTTCGTAAAGACCTTGGTCTTGTGTATCCTATAGAGTGACTCCTCAGAGTTTGTCATTTTTGTGATTAGACTAGGATTGTGAGAGCTTTTCAAAAGACTGCTGCTAAAGTGAAGGCCCTTTTCACTAGCCTACATCAGGGATGCATGCATAATATCTGTGATCCATTTAGTGTATAGTAAGGTTTATGTTCATTTATGTTTCAAGACATTTTTATAATGCCTTTCACAAAGAATCAATTGAATTTAAATGATATATGTATACATATATCATCTACATTATGAGTATATATAAAATACTTTTATTATTTAAGACATTCCCTGATCTGTTTGGTTTAGTCCATTTTTTGCAGCTGCAACAATAACTTAGGCTGGGTAATATATAAAGAGTAAGTCCGGGGCTGGGGATGTGGCTCAAGCGGTAGCGCACTCACCTGGCATGTGTGTGACCCGGGTTTGGTCCTCAGCACCACATACCAACAAAGATGTTGTGTCCGCCGAGAACTAAAAAATAAATATTAAAAATTAAGTCCAAGATCTAGGTCCCAGCATCTGATGCTTAGTAGAAGGCCTTACTTGCATCTTCACATAATGGAAGGCGGAAAGGCTATTTAAAAAGGGGGGGGTGGGCAGGCAGCAAATAAGGGGAACTAATTCCTCTTGGAGAGAAAGCCCCTCATGGCTTCAACACTCATATATGCCATCACATTAGCCATTATATTATCTCTTTCTGGCCTGTGATTTAACCCATGTTCACTATCATTGGGCTACAATCCCCAGCTTTTTTTTTTTTCTCAAATCTTTAATCCTGCCTCAGTTTTTCTGAGTAACTAGGGTTACATACATCATCATACCTTGCATATTAGCCATTATATTTAAACACGAGACTTTTGAAGTTCATTGAAACCCTGGCAATGTCTATTCCTGTATCACATTGCCTTGCAGTTAAACTGTATAGGTTTTTGTTTTTTAAAAATTCTAGTAAACAACTGAAAAGGATTCAAAGGGGATTTTTAGTTGTGGATGGACACAATACCTTTATTTTAATTTATCCAATTTTATGTGGTGCTGAGGATCAAACCTAGGGCCTTGTACGTGCTAGGCAAGAGCTCTACAGCTGAGCCACAACCTCAGCCCCAAAGGAAATTAATCTCAAAGCCCTGCATCTGAACAGAGGTTTTTAACAGGGTGCTGCCCTAATTTTGGAAAAAGATCAGAGCCTCCTGGCAAAGGGGGCCAGAGATGAAAAGCCACTGCAAATATAAGATCCTGGCATTGAGAACCTCCAAAGAAATAAGGTAGAACTGCCCAGAACCGTGTCTAGCAGTTAAAACTATGAAGGAGACCCATAAAGCCAAAGGAAGACTACATACCTGTGAAAGTATGTAATTCTAGTTTTGCCTTTAAAGACTGAGTTTGCACGCACAACAATAGACTTTTTCCTAAGAAGTACGTTCTCCACTGTGAGTGCCTTGAGCTTGAAAAGCAGAAAGTTTTAAAGCTTAGAATGTAAGATATAACACTAATCCAGCGGATGAATCTGAAAAGAGGATCCCTAGAATCAAGAAAACCACAGGATGGTGCTCATCACCGACTAATGAGTCATTCGAGGAATAGGGAATATCCATCCATGGAACCAGGCTAAAAGCAGTCATGGAAAACAACAGAGATACCAGTAGTTAGCTGCAAAGTATTGGCAATGTGAATCCAGACAAACTGTCAAGTAGAGCAGTAATCCTCAGAAAAATGGAATGTAGCATCACACTGCAATGTAACTATGGTGCTCAGTTTCCAGTAAGAAATTATTGGACATGTAAATAAGGCAATTGTAGTACAGGATTCTTAAGTGCAAGCAGCTGTTTGATTTAGCAAAGACTTCAGCATATCACCTTTATTTTGTTGAGGTGGTAATTGTGTTGGTTGATGATTGAAAGATCTACTTTGCATTTCTGAGATAAATTAAACTCAGTCATGAAAACCGTACATAATTGTTTCATGTGTAGAGATTCATATAAGATCTTGCCTCCGTGGCAGATAATTCTGAGAAAACAAGACTGATACCAGTGTTCTTTGTGTAGAAATGAAGAGATTCACACTAAACTATTGATGTAGAGACTTTTTTTTATGTGATTTCTTGTATCCCTAATAACAGACTAGGTCTGACAGACTAGTTGCTCAATGAGTGTTCCTAGAATGAGAAAAATATAAACAGTTGACTTTGTGGAAACAATTTCAAATACTTCCCATCATAATGAAGTAATGAAGGACCTGATTACGTGGAACTAATTATTAATCTTGTGGGGTTTGTTTGGGTATTGGAGATCAAAACAGGATATACGTATGCTAAGCAAGCACTACCACTAAGCTACACCCCCAGTCCCATTATTTTATATTTGTATCCCTATTTAGGATTTCTTGAAGTTCAGCGGAAGTGAACATCACTAAATATTGATATAAATACATATAAAAACTATAAGATACAGGGGTACAATTTATTAAAATATTTCTAGGGCAGAATTTTAAATGTGAGTTTTGCTTTAAAACTTTTAAAAACATTTGAATACGTGGTCTTTATTTAATCCTCCACAAGTTTATTGATTTATCAAAGGTGCAAATTTGTAATCTTAATGGAAAACAAAGCAACTACAGTTACGTAATAAATATCTAGGAAAGAAATCAGGTTTCCTAAGAAAGCTTGCAGTAGTTAACCAGAAATTGTCAAGATAGCATACTGCTTGTTATTAACTTTTAGATCACTAGGGGGTGATGTTGTTACAGACCAAGGCCTGCAAATTATTTCTGTAATAACTTGAGCTAAAAGTGCCAACAAGAATTCAACTACAGTTTCCTTTGTATGACTCCTCAAAGTCACTAGTTTACAGGGTGAATAGCAGCAAATCAAATAACAGACTGTGATGAAACAAAATGGTGAATTAAAGAGGTATTACACAAAATGAAACAACACATTTAATGTATTGGTGTAGAAGTGACTAAAAAGGCTAATTTTAATATTTGTTAATATATCACCTGATGTTTGTCATTCTTAAGTCCAACTTATTACTGCATACAGTGTAATAGAAGAAAATCATTTAAAATAATTATTCATAAATTTAAAAGTAACAATGTAATGACATTAGGCTTACTTTCTTTGCTATGTAATTAATAATATTTCTTAATTATAACATTACACTAGAATTTTATTGCTGAAAAATTACTGTTCCTTCCTAATAGTTTTCATTGTAAGCATGACATTTTATTAAAAGTGCAGAAACTTTTTTATTTTTTAGAGAGAGAGAAAGAATTTTAATATTTATTTTTTAGTCATCGGGGACACAACATCTTTGTATGTGGTGCTGAGGATCAAACCGCGCCACACGCATGCCAGGCGAGCGCGCTACCGCTTGAGCCACATCCCCAGCCCAAAGTAGGAACTTTTAAAAGATGATAGAAAAACAAAATTAGTATTGTGATTAATGCAGGTAGATCAAATGTACTTTAAATTACATTCTGGCTTTTTTTTTTCCTTAAACATTATACAACACTATAATGATTTTTTTCCAAGCACTTACAGAATCAAAACATCAGAAAGAAAGACATATTTTCAACTCTGTACCCACTTGCACCCAACAGAACATCACCTAAACTAGGGCCAAAAAGTTTGACCTCGCTTTGAAATTGACTGGGTTCTGAAAAAAATTTGATTCACTCTGAATATGATTTAAGTATTATTTTTTAAGTATGAGGAAAACTGAAATTTGTAAATTTTTTTAAAAAAAATCTTCATTTTCTTCACAATGTGAAGAGGTGGAGAAGCCACACCTCCAGAGATTTGTGAAAAACTGGTTTCCATTAATTTTCATCTGCTGAGAGCAGTTATGGTATCAGTAAAGACACTGCTCTCAGGAGAATGGACCGGAAATAGCTGAGTAATTTTGGGCACATCCTTTTAATAACTTCATGGAGCTTCAGTTACCTCACCTAAAAAGAAGAGTAATAATAGTAGCAATAGTGTTTTGGAAGATCTAAGATAAAAGTGGTTTTGAAACGTTGTGAAAAAAAATACTGGCCTACGAAAATGTTATAGGCAATTATCCTATTTTCACAGGAAAAGTTTCTATGTGGATTAAGGCATTTATCAGCTAAATGCAGTTTCTAGTGCTATTAGAGAAATAGCAATGGGATGGAGAAGGATTGTTGAACGCTTTGTAAGGAAATGCTGCTTCCTTGCCCACCTCCTGCTTCCTCCAGCTGGCGGCAGTTGATTTCACTCTTTCAGATATGTAAGTGGCCATCATTTGCTTCTAGCAACTTTTGCCTTAGCTGACTTCCTTTTAGGGGAGGGGGAGAAGGGACAGAATAGTAGTTGAGATTTCTTCGTCTTTAAATGGGATTGATTGATTGATTGTTTCCCGGTGTCTAGACCCTTGACTCTCCAGATATTGTATTAACTTTGCAGTTTAAGTGGCGCCCCAGGAGCAGGACAGCATGGCCTTTTCATGACCATTCTAGGCTCCCGAGTAAGAAAACATTGTCCAAGCAAAGCTATATGAAGGACTGTGGTTGTGTAGATTGCTTAAGGATAAGTGATTTACACTTGGAGGGTTTACAAAAGTGCTTCGGGAGAAGGTCCCAGGTTGAGCGTTTGTGCCTAGAGAAGGACGACAGGTGCTCAGGTCGGTTTTCAGCGGCTCTCCTGAGAAGCCCAGTGAGACATTTAAACAGCTCTCCACCCCCAGACACTCCCCTGCGGGAGAACTGGAGGAGGCGCTGTGGCCGGCAAAACGGCAAGTGGTCCTGCCAGGAGCAGGGAGGTCTGGAGAGATGTCAGCCTGGAAGTTTTCCCAGCGCTGCGGGCCAGAAAAGCCAGCCGATTGCAGAGAGAAGCGCTCAGTTGCCTCTCCGCCCTCCTCCCACCTTGTTTCAGCCCACACCCATGGCGCCCCACCCCCTCGGACTTAATAGAGGGGCTGGGCACCCGGCCTCGCCTGGGAGCCTGAGGCTTTCCCGAGCATACTACGCGCTTTCCTAGCCTGAAAGATCCGGCGGCGCTACTGCAGCGGCGGGAGTAGCGGAGCGGGGCGGAAGCTGCGCCCCGCACCATGGAGGGCAGTCCAGTCCCCCTCTGGGTCTCCACTGGCCTTGGTCACTGCCCGAGACTCCTCTGCCAGCTCTCTCTGCTGCTTTCCGGGCGCCATCCACTCCTCACCTCAAAGCCAACATGAAGGAACCCCGGGGCGACGGCGGGGGCGCCCCCTTCTGCACCCGCCTCAACAATTCCTACCCCGGCATGTGGGCGCAAGAGCGCTCCGCGGAGGCGCGGGGCAACCTCACCCGGCCCCCAGGGTCCAGCGAGGACTGCGGATCAGTGTCCGTGGCCTTCCCAATTACCATGCTGATTACCGGCTTCGTGGGCAACGCGCTAGCCATGCTGCTTGTGTCTCGCAGCTACCGGCGCCGGGAGAGCAAACGCAAGAAATCCTTCCTGTTGTGCATCGGCTGGCTAGCGCTCACCGACCTGGTCGGGCAGCTGCTAACCAGCCCGGTGGTCATTGTCGTGTACCTCTCCAAGCAGCGTTGGGAGCAGCACGACCCGTCGGGGCGGCTGTGTACCTTCTTCGGTCTGACTATGACTGTTTTTGGGCTCTCCTCGCTCTTCATTGCCAGCGCCATGGCCGTCGAGCGGGCACTGGCCATTCGGGCGCCACACTGGTATGCGAGCCACATGAAGACGCGCGCTACCCGTGCGGTGCTGTTCTGTGTGTGGTTGTCAGTGCTGGCCTTTGCCCTGTTGCCTGTGTTGGGTGTAGGCCAGTACACTGTCCAGTGGCCCGGGACGTGGTGTTTCATCAGCACCGGGCGAGGGGGCAACGGGACTAACTCTTCGAACAACTGGGGCAACGTTTTCTTCGCCTCCACGTTCGCCTTCCTGGGACTCTTAGCTCTGGCGGTCACCTTCGCCTGTAACCTGGCCACCATTAAGGCCCTGGTGTCCCGCTGCCGGGCCAAAGCCGCGGCATCGCAGTCCAGTGCCCAGTGGGGCCGGATCACAACTGAGACGGCCATCCAACTTATGGGGATCATGTGCGTGCTGTCAGTCTGCTGGTCGCCGCTTTTGGTAGGTAGTTCCAGGGTGTGGGACCGTCAGGTCGGGCTGGAAATGGAGACTTCGAAAAGTGACAGCACCTGTGGGTTGTGTTTGTAACCCCAGAGCATTGAGAATGCCTCTTCTCCCGAGCTATCCCGGTTTCTACTTCACAGTTGAGCTTCTCACTTGTTGAGCGCCTTCCTAGCGCCAGGCATCTCCTTAGGCACTGGTTAGGCACAGTGGCAGATCAGTTCTTACGTTCTAATCCGGAGAGTGTAGTGGATACTCAGGTATCATTTCAGTGCATGTACACAAGTAGAAGTTTGTGCATTAGGACAATGGTGATGAAAACCGTAGCCTAATATTGTGTGCTTTCTATTTCTAATATCTCTTGTACTTATGGTGATTTTCAGCCTGCAAAAGTACCCTACTTGCCACCCCAGACAGGCACCGCCCTCTTGCAGCTTCTGAGCTGCTGCACACCCTCGCTGCACAGCCTATGCTGACTTTACTTTTAGATTGATTCTGACTGGAGGCAGGAGAGTAAAGGATACATCTTTTTTTTTTTTTTTTTTAATCCCTGACCTCTCTTTAAAAAAGATTTTTTTTTTAGTTGTTGGTGGACCTTTATTTCATTTCTTTATATGTGGTGCTGAGAGTCAAACCCAGTGCCTCACACATGATATGCCAGCCCCTAAGGGACGCATCTTGATGCAGCAATTTGCCCTCTAGGAAGAGCTTGAGCCAGTCATTCTTGGGACCCAGCAGCCCAATAACTCCCCCTGGCTAGCGTTTGCTAGTTCTTCTAACAAGCACTCAGGGCTGGGACAGGAGGAATCCTGGGAATAGGAGATGAAGTTTTCTCCACTCCCCAGCTCCTCACATCAGCAAATCTTCCAACTACTTAGGAGCAAGCAATGCTTCTCCATGCTCCCTGCCTCCCACTCTTACACCGTGTTGTTGAGGCTTTAAAAAAAAAAAAATTCTGCAACACATTTAGCTAAAACTTCAACTGAGTGAGTGCTGTTTACTAATGGCTGAAGAATTGATGCTTAGGATTCAAGCAGATGTTGAAGAAAGAGCAATCTGAGTATGATCACAGAGTTATAACTGATTATATAATGGACCTGTAAATTTATATACGACTTAGAAAAACCTCTAAGGCATATGGATGTGGATTTCAGATCTATCTCATAGTGTTTTTTTAACTATGGTAAAATGGTATTTTAATGCATAATGTAAAATTTACTATTCTAACTGTTTTTAAGTGTAGAGTTGGATAATATTAAAGACATTGATGTTGTACATCATATATAATTTTAAACTTCTTGTCTTTTAAAATAGAAAAGCAGTTCTTCCTTCTACTCTCTCCCACATTGACAAAGCAGACATTGGAGAATTCCTGTGTGTAACTGGTGTGGGACATTTGAACACAAGCCTTGGCTTCAAAGAGTGACATAATGACAAGAAGAGTTATGTTGGGATTTAACTTCCCACGAGTCACTCTATGGTACACTTCTGCATTCCAGCAGCTAGAACTGGGCTGATGTCATCACCCTGACTTATCAAAACCAGCGCCAATTTTAGACATTATTTGCTTCTATGGTTGAGGAATGGAGTATGTAGGTGACCAAACAAGAGGGAAAAAGAGTTATACCAAAAAAAAAAAAAAAAAAAAAAGAACAAAAAAACTTTACTGACTATAAGATAACTGTCAAGGCAAACAGAATGTCTGAATTTTTCACAGCTCTCATTTGAGTTCTAGTCTATGAGTTTCCTGTATTGCACAGTTTATAACCTAGAAAAAATGCAGTTAAATCACATAAATAAAATGTATGCCGAGCAGTTAATCAAATTTGTAATTTTTTTAAAGAGAGAGAATTTTGTAATATTTATTTTTTAGTTTTCGGTGGACAAAACATCTTTATTTTATTTTTATGTGGTGCTGAAGATCGAACCCAGTGCCCTGTGCATGCCAGGCAAGCGCACTACCGCTTGAGCCACATCCCCAGCCCTTGTTTATTTTTAAGAGGAAGAAAAACTAGTGTTTTTTATTTGGAGACTTTGGTTTGAACAGAATGAATATGGTAGCCTCAGGAAGAATAAAACAATTTTGAAAACTGTAACAGCATAATCAAACTCACTCTCTGGAGAAAGACTATATTTAAAACTAGTTTTATTTAACTTCAATTAATATCTCCATTCAGCTAATATTTATTGAGTTGTGGCATTTTATCAAACACTTTATTTTTCATAAAAAATTAAACTTGAACTTAATATGATCATACCAAAGAAGAGAAATTCAGTTTCAAAATAGGTTCTTTCTAAAACAAATGGTTCCATCTTCTGTTTTGTGTACCACTGAAAATAAATCTCTACATATCTGCAGAAAGATCTACAATACAAAGTTGGAATTGTTTCAAAGAAAGAAACTGGCATAACTGCTTTCTTAATAGGTTTGGGAATTACAAGAGTGAAAATACTAGAACCCAGTGAATAGAATTTTCAGTATGTTAGTGTTAAAGTGAGAAATCATTTATATATTTTTTCCAACTATGGGTAAAATATAAATTTCTAAGTAGCTTTTATTGGATTGGCCATAGGACATATAATCTAGTTATCCAGACTTCTTACTTGTTAAGACCTTGAATATATCTTACATTAGAAGACTACCACGTCTGTAATAATACTCAACTATCACTGCTGCGAAACTTAGTAGAGCAGAGATGCCATAGTAAGAAAATGTCCAACTGCTACAAGCACCTACTACATTAATAGTTATTCTTTTTCCTAGAAACTTTGCAAAATGCAATATGAGATGTGCAATCAAGTCAGGAACAATGAGGTACAAGATGCAAACTATGAATATGGGATGTGCAATTCAATGGGAAAGGGTACTTCACTGTGATAGATGATGTATAGCTCTTAGTCACTCTTAATATAACATGTCAAGTTGCAATTCTGTTGAAATCAGCCCACGGACTCAGAAATGTGATCTATTTGACTTATTGTTTTATTTTTCATGAGCCATGCCCACCAAATTGTCCAGTTATTTGACATAATAACTAAGATTCCAAGAGCAGGAAACAGAATGTTGTTCAAAGGAAGCCATGAGTACATTTTGTCTTTTATATCCTGGCACCTCCAAACAGGTAGAATGTGGCTAATACTGTACCTGTCTTATAAATATGAAGCTAGCTATTAGCCAATCCAAGAAAAAAAGGTAATAGAAAATATAAAACTAACTATCAACTGTAAACAGGAAGATGGGAAGAAAAAACAATTCCTCATCTTCACCTTTGTTTTTGTTTGTTTGTTTTTTTGAGAGAGAATTTTTTTAATACTTATTTTTTAGTTTTTGGCAGACACAACATCTTTGTTTGTATATGGTGCTGAGGATCGAACTTGGGCTGCATGCATGCCAGGTGAGCGCGCTACCGCTTGAGCCACATCCCCAGCCCTTTCCTTTAATCTTGAACCAGCAAATTCCCCGCTCACTATCCACAAATACGATCAGGATACTTCAGTTGGAGAAGATATATTACAATGTGGTTGTGATTTTTTTTTTAAATTAAGGAATGACTGATATATTTTAAGTGACATTTTCCTTTAATCTGCCGTATATGGTAGATAGATATGCTAGATTATTTTACAAAATGAATGCATTTTATGGCATATAAAATATTTCTCAATTTCTAATCATCTTTGCCTAAAAATTTCTACCATAGTTAGGATGTTGCTTCAGGAAAAAATGATTATGCATATGAATCTGCTCTATAGGAAGAGTTCTCTATAGTTTGTTTTTATGAAAGTTAAGATTTTTCATTATTATTTACATTTTTGAGTTCACAACAATATACTGTGGAGGGGCTACTGAATATGCTTTTTTTTTTCCTTACTTTTTTGAGAGGATTGCTGGGGATTGAACCAGCAATGATAGGATACCATGCATGATAACAAGCACTCTATCACTGAACTGCACCTCTGGCCCTGAGTAGACTTCCTAAAAACTGCTCAAAGAGTTATAATTTGTTCAGAGGAGTAGAATTTCCATATTTATGAATGAAACAATTAAGAACAATATTGCAAGATAGGGTATGATTCATGCCTTTCACTTTAAGAAAAAAGTCTATCTAAATTAGCCAGAGTAGGCATTCTGGAAGAAGTGAATGGTATAACACGACTTCATGGCTGACCCAAGGGTGCTCAGGTACCCAGCCAATGAGAACAGAGTGTTCACACTGAAAATGCTATTAGATGCTATTAGAAATATTAGAAAAGGGGCTGGGACTGTAGATCAATGGCAGAGCGCTTCCATAGCATGTGTGAGGCACTGGGATCGATCCTTAGCACCATATGAAAATAAATAATTATTAAAAAAAAATAAAGAACTGGATCTTATTAAAGAAAAGAAATACTAGAAAAGGTCAATTGATTTTAGGAGTGAATTTATTCAGTAGACATCTGCTGAGACATCTACTAAATCCTCTGAGCTGTGCTAAAAGTCCTCACATACGTTACCTCATTTAATTAAATCCTGTAAGATTGTCACTATCATGTACATCATTCAGATGAAGAGCTTAAGCATAGGATATTAGAAAAAGATTTATAATTCGAGTCATCTGACTCTGAGTCTCAGGTTTTGTTGTTGTTTGTTTAACTTAAAGGCCATGGATTCAAGTCTTAAACACAGCACAGAGCAACTTATGTATCTTTTTATCTGGAAAGCACAGAGGTAGTGCTATTAGAGGTTTGAGGTCTTTTTCTATGTAAGATATTCTGAAGTTCTTTTATTTTGGAGAATTATGGTTCAGTGAACCAAAATGGGCAATTCAGAAGGGAGACTGTTTTGTTGTTATTGAGTAAGAAAGGGGGCCCCTAAACAACAGCAGCTTTTGGACACATAGGATGATGGTGGATTGTCTAAATGATATATCCAGAATCAATCCAATATGACTTGAAGATTAGTGAGATAAATCAGGGCTAGAAAATGCAAATTTTTAATTTTGGGTTTATCAAAGAGAGCCAAG